CCGGGCAATTCATTTAGTTCAACCGTGACCGGCAGGTTGTGTAGTATCCGTAAGACCTTGACGTGTACATCTGAGAATGTGGTTTACCTCGCTCAGTGTGTGGCTTGTGGTTTGCAGGAGGTTGGTTCTACTATTAATTTTAAGCCTCTTTGGCAAACTACAAGTCACATATAAAGCATAACCGTAGAACATGTGGTGTAGTTAATCACTTCATAGATGTGCACGGGAGCGAGCATTTCAATTTGAAATTTATGTTAATTGATAACAACAACGAGGACTTAAGAAAGTGTGAAAACTTTTGGATAGGCACTTTGCTTACTAATCTGGGGGGTTTGAATACCAGCCATGATTATTCCCAACAATAGGTCTGTAGGCTTTGTTTATATTGCTTTAATTAGTTTAATCACTTATATTGTTGTATATAAGGAGAGTAATTTACTATATTCATTTACTTTTTGACGAAGGCGGTGGCATGCTGCCGAAAATTTAAAGCTATATATATTTTTTTATTAAATAATTTCACTTGGAGTCGTGGCAGTGTTATAACCTGTTTGTATATTATCTATGATTTGTCTGCCGAGCAGAGTGTGTACACTTGTTGCATATATATATATATATATATATATATATATATATATATATATATATATATATATATATATATATATATATATATCTATATATATATATATATATATACCGGGTGTCCCAAAAAAAGTACTCCTGTTTGATTCGTAATAAATTCTAAACAAGTAAAGCTTTTTTAGAGAAATAACTTGCATTAAATAGAGGAAGGACTAACGTAGATTTTGATATATTACAGTTGTATTTAACTTAAAAATTCACGTACATATTAATGTTTAAAATCGGGAGCATATTTCTGGATGTGTCTGAAATATGCAAAAAACGGCGTATCAAATATTAATCAAGATTTGCCCGACTGAAACATGCACGATTACCAGTAAATAAATAACACTTGACAAATTGTTTATTATGAAACAAATATTATTATATCTACAAAATACAAGCAAGATTTATTCGTCCGAAATTCGCGTGTGTTCCTAGCACGAATACGTTTCCTTATTTCATGAGACCACTGCATCTCGAAGGATCGTCATGGATCGTTCGTAGTTCTGAATTAGGGCATGCTGTCACAATGGAATTGTGAAGCACTTCTAACTTCTGCAACGTTCTGAAATCTTGTTAAGAACACCCAAACGCTTTTGCCTTTTCTTAATCTTGGCAAGTTCAGAGTAAACTGAGAATTATATGAAACACAATCAAACCATATAACTCCATAAGACATAACAATTAAGCAACTCCCCAGAGACATGCAACATTTTTGGAACAAAACCTAACAAAATAGTAGCGTTGATACGGTGATGTGTATTTGCAAAAACCAATATTATTTCCTTCAATAAAGAATAATATTCATCCTGCTCTAACCGAGAAATAATCAACTCAGTCTGTTTGAACCCATTAAAAACATAAAAAAATTAGGCTATTTAAGAATACGAAAAATTTAAGCGCCTGCCTTCCATGGTCAGTCTTTCATGTACATTTAAGTTTGCAAAGACCTAATATTAAATACTTGCATAATTTCGAACGTTCATATTTCAGGAAACAATAAGCTAAGACTTACATGTAAGATGTCTAAATTTAAACTTAAAATTAATATATATATATATATATATATATATATATATATATATATATATATATATATATATATATATATATATATATATATTTGTATATTTTCATTATTTTCTTCCTTTATTATTAATCAACGGCCCCTTGAAAATCAGCTACAAGGAACTCAGGGTTTTTTTCAGGATTTTCTCTTGGGTCCGTTTTTGCAGAGAAGATTGAGTTTAGCTGAACAGCTGGGGTGGCTACACCCCACCCCCTACCGGGGGGCTGACACCTGTACTCAATAAATGTAGTTGAGACGGAATGTGTTAAAGCATGCAGGGGCACTAAGGGACACTATAAACTGGTTAAAGATGGCGAATGCATAGTTTTTCTTGTGTTGTGAGATGAATTCCAGCCATTTTTTCTTAATTGTCGGGTTTCCAACTGAAAACTAATTTCCACACATCACGAATTTAACTCAAACAACTTCATTTTTACTGCACTGAAACTTTGGTGAGAAGATTGAGTTTCAAAACTCAATTCAAGATTGAGTTTTTGGGGCCGTTAAACGGCCCTAAAAAATCCCGGAAAAAACCCTGCTTCTGTAAGGTACATTGCCACCCAATGCGATCCAGGTTTATTGGAAGGATCCGTGTTAAGTATATACCCTCTAGGTCTCTTTCGTATTTCGAGAGGTAAGCGATTGACGGTAAAACATCCGTAAACACCGTCTTTGTAAATGGGTCATTCTTGAGAATGTTCATAATCTGTAGGGAGTTCATCTTCAGTTGTTGAAATCACACAGCACGTTTTGGTTCCCATCAATTTCGATAAGACTTTGAAATTCACCAAGTACCACGATATTTATAGCTGTCTCCAACGGTGTTCCAAATCGACATTCAATTGACACATTTCCGTTTTTAATCGGTTGTACATGATCACCAATGCATAGGTCAGGAGTGAGGTCAAACACAAACAGCGTATAACCGTTTGCATATTCTTCACGAGTTATACCATTGCCCTGATTTTCAAAAATCTTGTGTGTGCCAGCGTACAGGGTTTGAAAAGCAGAAATGTAGTTACTGTCTGCTCCAAATTTCAACTGTAATGGTTTTCCAGGTAAGTTCTCTCCGTTGACAGTGAGACCCATGGTTGTAATATCGTAATTTTTGAAATTGAATGGGTTCTTCGTATATGTACCGTTAAAGGCATCTGCGTCGACCATTCCAATCACAATACGATTTGGTAAAGCCCCTTGAAATATATTAGGTTGATTTCCAGACAAGTTCCCCCGAGGTACGGAGACGACCTTACAGTGAATCCTGTTGATTGGGTATTTGGCAGTGGTTTGTTGAAGGGACTGGGAGTGAGTCAGTATAATACTAGGGCCTACATTAACTCGTCGTACACGAAACAAACATTCTTCGATGACCACTTTGAAATTGGGACTTTCTGCGGATGATACCAAACAAAACGGATTTCTAGATCTCACCAGCTTGATCTTGATTGGAACAGCACCAAGAATATAACGGTCTTGGGCGAATAGATCAGAATGAATTCTTCCTTCCATGGCGACAGATTTACTTTCACGTGTATATGCATGCCGTTGTGTTAATCCCGTGTTGGCATCTTGTGCGAGAGGGTTGACTACATCCATCTTCCCAGCTTTATCTTTATAGAATAGTGCTGAGGTCAAATGTGAATCTTTGGCGTCTTTGCTAAAGTTTAGGATCGTTTCGATATACGCTCGGTAAGGGTAGGGTGTGCTTGATGGGGTGACCAGTTTGTTGTTCAGAAATACTTCAACTTGTGAGAACAATGCATGCATCCAAAGGTTTGAAGGTCCAACTTGAATGTCTGCACCCACATTACCTCCGGCTGCGGTAGTGATCTTTGCTTTAACGTATAGGTAACTGCTTGCTAAGTCAGTATAAACTCCAGAATTGGCAGCACATAAAAATTCTATCGTATCTGAAGAAGATGTACTTGCAATGGGATCAACATCTTCCCAAAATCCTTTTTCCATTACCACTTGAGTCGGTGGAACAGAAAATAAATCAATTTCAGATTTTGAACACATACAGGAGTCTTTATACATTGTTTCAGCGACTTGAGCCATGCCACTTTGGACTATAGTTATCGAGAGATGTTTTCTGCTTCTTGGTTGGACCGCGAATGGGAGTTTTAGCTGGCGCAGCTCTTTTTATACCTTTTTTGCGACCCTTTCCGGTCATTACTTTCTTGGCGGAGTTTTTTGCAACATCAGATGCTGCTTGTTTTCGTCGTGATTTAAAAGATTCTTTTACATTTTTTCCTTGGATTACATCTTGACCGACTTCTGTGGCTGCTTGCATGTAATGCTCTTTTGCCAACAACTTTAGCGCCTTGTTTGAATAGAGGAATAGCATATCTCGCAAGGCTCTTGAAAATACCTCCGATTCCATATACCCTTTGCATACGTGCACTACGAAACCCAGCGATATTCCCACCACGTTGCTGTCTCAAAAAATGGTCTTTCAATAGTTTAGCATCCACAACTAGTCTCCCGCGCATTTTTTAGATAAAGTACTGAGATCTCGTCTGTCTAAAGTGAAGTGTTGTGATTGACTTCCCGAACTCAAATGAGACGTTTTCGTTTTGGTCATTCTTTATATTGACCTCAATGGTCTCAAAAGAATTTACTTTGACCGGTACGTATTGCAAATTACGAAACGTTGCGTGAACGGTGTTTCCATATTCCCCTTCGATATTAACGATTTGTAGTAGGGGCACTTTCACATCGCCCACAAACTGTGCATCAACGATATCAGTGTAGACATACATGGAGGAAAATCCACCATTGATATCTGCAGCATAGGGACTCGTAGTTTTCTTTTCAATAAGAGTGTCCTGGTCAAATCCCAAGACCGTTGCTAATTCTCCGGTAAACCACACAGTTGTGCCGTGTTTTACATCAACCACAATTTTGCGAGAACTGTGATTATAACTAAACTTTACTTTCGTCTGTATTTCTTTTGACATGCCGGCATTGAGTGCTTTTGTTAGTTGATCAATAGATGAATATTGTGTTTCTTTAAGCACCACAGTTTGATAAGGGTTACTACCAATTTTATACAAAAACGTTTGTTGCACTCCACGTCTTAGCGTGCTCCACGTATGTGGGTAAAACAGTTCCGTCAATGCGACTTCCCATTGTCCTGGCAATACAATGGTTTCAGCCAGTTTTACTCTAAAATTCGCTCCCGTATTATTTGGAAAGTGAGCTAACGAACTATTACTCGGTAACGTGAGATAAAACTGTGTTGCCATATTGAAGACCAACACACAAATGAACACAACTGTCAACTGATAAGTTTCAAATACATTTATTTAATATCTTTTACACTCTCTGCTGGTACCCAAGAATTAAATTTATCGGAGTAGCCCAGCCATTTTACAGAATACTCTTTACGTTTATTACGCATGCGTGATCTAAGTACTTCTTCGACTCTATAAAAATCACTGTCTGTTTTATTCACTCTTTGAAGCTCTTGTTCGTAAAATGTTCCTTTCAATTCTTCGTCATCAAAATCAGCGATCTTGTACACGGGTGGTCGTCGAAGAACACGTTTGGTTATCGTAAACACTTCCTCGGTCCAACTAGGTAAGTATCCTTTCTTAAATGTGCGCCTTGCTTTGCCGATTCGTACTTGATCGCCAATGTTAAACTTAAACCGAACGGGTTTGTCTGACTCTTCTCCATAACGTTTTTGCCACACAATGCTCTCGTTGTCTTCATTTACATCAACAGGCCTCATACCAATACTACGATGTCTCGAATGATTATAAGATTTTACCAGTTTCTGGAGAATGTCCACGTACTTGAGCGTGTTCTTCGCTGTAAAGTATTTCCACATTTTCGTCTTGAGCGTACGATTAAACCTTTCGACAATCGATGACTTGGTCTCGTTTTGCGTCGTGAAAAACCGGATGTTATGTTTCTTCAAAAAGGTTCGAAATTTTCGATTCATAAACTCTGTCCCTTTGTCGGTGTGAAACGTTTCAGGCTTTCGACCCTTTTTAAGTATTTTCTCAAAGGCTTTAACAAGATTTTCTCC